AATTGTGAATATGCTTAATTGTTAAATAATTCCACCGTCTTAAAGTTTCATGCATGAGATATTTGTTATATCTCATGGGAGAATGTGAATGCATGATTTTAAAACTATTAAACCTCCACCGCCTATGAATTAATTATGATGGCATAAAAGTAATATATAAGATTCATCTTATCTTATTGTTGTTTTTGGAGAGAAAGAAAAGAAAGAAAAACTTTTCTGTGTGTTTTCCTGTGATAGAAAAGAACAAGTTGATTTTGCGATTTTATTTGAAGTTGTGTGAACTCATCTTCAAATACGTGAAAAAGATGAGGTTATGTTATCAAATTTCTTTATTTGGTGTTTGAAATATTGAACCGTATGGTTCTTATGTGGGAAGTTGATAAACAATTTCTTGAAAGCTGTCTGAGTTTGATGATAAATTTGGTATAGAACTGTAAGGTTCTTTATATGAGTTTCTGTTTTGAAACGGATTTGGTTGCCAGTTTTGGTAAAAGGGTAGTTTTGATTATGATTATATCATGATGTGTTGTAATAAGGGTGGCATATCAAGGAGTTGTGTACGTTAGTAATAAGGGTGGCATAATCATGAGTTGCTTACATTGGTAATAAGGGTGGCATAATCAGGAGTAGCGTACATATGCAACAAGGGTGGGATAATCAGGAGTTGTGTACAATAAGGGTGGATAATTAACCACAAGGGTGGTGCCTAATTGGTTTGAGCTTGGCTCCAAAGGTCAAAAGTAGCTGGAGGTCTCAGATTCAAATCCAAGGAGGAACAAAAATCCCCTTGTGGCCACGAAGATTCAAATGCGGTGACTTCGGGCTATCTGCAAAACAGGTGGGTGCTTTGGGATTAGTTGGCTCGTATAGCGGGTTGGATATCTAGGTTAATAAAAAAAAGGTGGATAATCTATTTTGGAAATGATAATCTTTTGATCATGGGTTTTGTTATCACATTCTTATGAGGTGATGATCTCAAGTTATCATGTATGTGTGATACGAGGACTTGATTATTGCATCCTATTGATATGATAAAAAAGTGTTTAAGGACCAGAGGGGCTCTGGTTGGTCTTCATGTTGGACCAGAGGGGCTCTGGTTGGTTTTCATGTTGAACCAGAGGGCCTCTAGTTGTCTTTGGGACTTTGATCTTTTCAAAATGATCAACTCATCTCGAACCAGAGGCTTTGCATATGCTATGCAGTGGCTCTATATTTGGAAGTTGAGCTATATGTTCGAGCTCTGTATCCAAGCTATGTTTGAATTCTGTATTCGGGCTCTTAGTACCAAAAACTTTTAATCCTTTTTGATTAAACCATTTTCAAATCTTGTTTTATATTAACACTTAGAAGCCCATAATATAGTTCAACCAGAGAGGCTTTGGTCGTACAAAGGGCCTCTGGTTTGGCTTTGTCTTTGGGTAGATTCCTTCTAAGTATGTTGCCTTTTGGCAAATGAACTAGTGGGATTTTGGTTGATGTTCACATTTAAGCAGAGGGTCTCTAGTCATATTTAAGTTCCATTTTCTAAGTATAACTCATTTGTGGTTAAGCGAACCAGAGGCTCTGGTCGTCCAGAGGGCCTCTTGTTGGCCATGTCTTTTTATTGGCTTCTTTTTTTGTTATCTTATACTTTTAAGTTGGACATCTTAATGTATTTTGCATTGATTAAAGTGGTTCAGAAGGGCTTTGGTTTGTCTTGAACTTATGGTTGAATTTGAAGTTCGAGACTAGAGGCTCTGGTTAGTAGGACGAGAGGCTCTGGTCGTTCAAAGGGCCTCCGGTTGGTGTTGCTTTTTATCATACCTTGTTTTTTATTAACTTTAAATTGCTTTGTCTTAAGTTTGGCTTTGATCTGGTTGTTGGACCAAAAGGGGCTCTGGTTCTTTAGGATCAGAAGGGCTATGGGTGGTCTCACACAGTGTGATGCGAGGAGTTGAGAATCTCGCACCAATGTGATGCGAGGAACTTGGTGGTCTCGCTCTATGTGATACGAGGAAGTTTTATAAGTCCCTATTTGATGTGATAAGTTTTAATATGGGATAATTTGCAAGATATTAGATATTTGAATTATGTTTATTCAAAAAGTTATATATATTTGTTATAATTACAAATATGATTTTATAACTTGTTTTGGTGATTATTCACACTTAATTGCAAGAAGGGATTTCTCACTAAGACCTTAAGGTCTAACTCTCATTTTGTGTTTCAAAAATGTGCATTACAGGTTGGCCACTATCAAGGGATAAGGTAATGGGGAAAATGTGAGATTTTTCTTATATGCTTACTTGGATTATGGAGAAGAGTTGTTATCTATTGATCTTGAATACTTGTTATATATGCAAGTGATGTATAAGAATGAAGTGGAAAAACTTGTTAGCTATTTTTGGAATGTAGCTTGTTGTATCTTTTTGGGACCGAATGTGTACTATGATGTTTCTCTTTATATGAAATATATGGTTATATGCAAATGGGGATCTTGGGGTGTTACAAATCATATATAAGGAATGATTAGCAACACTTGGTAGGGACAAGAATCCCATGAATCCCTATCAAAAATCACATTGTGAATCAAATACATATGCATATTACCACATTTTTGAATCACACATTACTATAATTAATATGAACAAGAACCCCATTGGATACCAATTATATTGTGAATACCATATGCATAATACAACATTTGTGAATCACAAATGATTAGAAAACATATGAACATGCCAATTGTGTTACGTTGTACATCATATATGATTTTAAATATACAGTAACAAAAACATTCATATAGAAAAAACGTTTTCAATTTATCATCAATAGTCCTATTTTAACATTGCATACATATGATACCGTGTAATATATAACAAATGTAAAAATCAAGAATGACAATCATCAAACTATCACATACGCTTGTAATAGACCACCCAAGACAACAAGCAAACATAAATCAGTAATATTTTAACACTATTGAAATTTTTACCTAGTTCCTTCATCAATGAGAGGTTCGGTACTGTTCGGTCGCTTCTTCATTGAGCTTAAAATCATCAAAGCCAAGTGGTTCTTCATTGGAGTTTCTAAAGGTGCCAACATCTGGCTTTTTTGCAACCTAATACTTTTTCGTAGTCCTTCAATCAAAATCAAACAATGATTGGTATGAGAAACCCTAGGGCTTACTTTCAAAAAAACAAAAGAGCATGCAATAATAAGATCATACCTGCCGGCTGCCGCATCCATTGTTGAGCTTCACAGTGTTGTTATTTTTGTGTAATACGACTTTGAATAAGCTTCAATGGAGTCGATTGTGAAAGGGTGCGATTTGGTAAGCTTTCTTCAAATTTTCAATCCATAGCATGTATTGTTTGAGATTTTTCTGGGAAATGATTATGGACTGCGATTTGACAGGAAAATCATCTCTAAAATCATGTAACTGTTTAAAGTATAGTCCATTGAATAAATTAAAAGAAACCTAACGGGGTGTTTGGTTCAGTCAAAAGAATGAAAATATGAATGAAAATGATAGAGAATGAAAATAAGAATGAATTTCCACTCCCTCCAGTTTAACCTAGAATCAAAATTCAAGCTTATGGGGAATAAGTCTATTATATTATATAAAACCAAACAGTTTCTTTTATTTTCATTATTATTGATTACTGCTTAATATCTCTAACCAAACACCTCCTAGAACTGTAAATTATATATATACCCTTGATTATTGATTTCAACATGTGAATTAACGAGGACTATAAATAATTTTTGTTTGCACCAAAAGGGTTTGTAAAGTAAAATCATTTATTTAGTTAACAAATGATTTTTTTGGAAGCGAAATATATTATATTAAAATTGAATTTAATATATAATTCATACTATATTATAAAGCATTTGAAGAAAATTCTTAAAAACCATTTTTTATACATAAAGTACTGTTTATTAATGCATATTACTTAAAACTCAAGATTGCAAGTAGATTGTGCGTAAGTACAACTTATTAAAGCTCCATATCTGAATTCGTGTAACTAACTGCAGATAAACATAATCAAATACAAGATAAACATCACATTTTAAATATAAAAAATCTAAAATATAATTAGAATAATCATTAACTTCTAACAGAATACTTAATTATTATCTTTATAAAATGTTATATTATTAAACCCAAAATAAATTATTTCGTTATTAAATTTAAATTAAACTTCAATAAAAAAATAAATTAAAGAAATTACATAAAAAATAAGAACTTTTAAATAATTGATTTGATATTAACATTGATATATTTTTTTCAAATTTTTATGATATCTTCAAATTTATATTTTATTCAAAAATAAAATATTATTGTTTTCTTAAAAACACACTTGTATTATAAAGTCGATAGAAACAAATACTAAAATAAAACATTAAAATCGATATATATCTTGCTATATTGCACGAATACTCTTCTAGCACGAATACTCTTCTAGTAATTAGTATATGTTGAACTTAAACCATAAAAGAATTAATTGTTTTTTTAGATTTAATTATGAATTTGGTTTATGTGGCATGCATGCTTTTACGAAATTGGTGCTTTGAGAAAAGATTAAAAAAGAAAAAAAAGACGAAAATGCCCTTAAGGACAATTTTGTAAAAACCATCGAATCACAAGTACCAAATCTTAGTTTACTCTTTGATAAATCTAATAAAGTATTTGGGGTCCCAAAAGTCGGTTACATAATAAAGATATTAAATTAAGAGTAAAAGGACAAAATATGCAAAGTAGTTTTATCCTTTCAACGAACCGACCACTCTGTAGGAGGCTACGTGTAGGACATTGATTGGGTGAACTATCCTTACGAATTACGAGGACAATGCGGAGACACCAGCAACAGAGCACGTGTCACCATACACAGATCTTCATAAAGCGCTTCCATTGATACGACGACGTATGTCCCATCTCTCTCGTTGTCGCCTTATATATAAATGAATAGAAACGAGGCCACACCAAACATTCATATCTTTTCTTGTTCTTTAGGGTTACAGCGAGTCAATTGGGTGAGTTGTGAATGAGTGAGTTGGGGATACTTTGAAGTTTGAATCGGTTGTTGGATGATTATTTAGAAAGAGATGGAAGAAGAAAGAATTGGTAGCAAGAGAGGAAGGGATGATGAAAAGGGTAATATGGGAAGACTTGAAAAAAGGGCGAGTGGGATGGTTGTGGTTGAGGAATACAGTGGGGATGAAATGATTAATGGAGTCAAATATGAGGAAGAAAAGATAAGTGATGGCGGTGGTGGCGGTGGCTTGTTTAATCAGCTCATAACTAATTTGGTTAACAGCCCTAAATCCAATCAACAGCTGGAAACTGATCATGTTTTTCAAGCTGGATCAGAGAAGAACAGTGGTGGTGGTGCTGCCGCTGGTGGTGGGGTTATTAATGATTTCATTTCGAATATCTTCAATAGTAGTGGTGGTGGTGGTGGTGAAGAGGTGGTGGAGAATGGTGGTGAGGTGGTGGAGAAGGGTGATGGTGGTGGTGATGTGGTGGAGAAGGGTGGTGGTGGGAAGATCATTGATAACGTTGTGTCCCAGTTGCCGAGAACTCTTTCAGGTATGCAATTTCCTTCTACTTTGATTGTTATCAAACTGGAGTTATGTATTCTGGAATATTTATGTTTACGTTTTGGAAACAGAGGATGCAGTTCCGGCAACAGATGAAGCTTCGATTTTGTTGCACTCCATCATCCATGACTAGATTTGACTTTGACCTTTATGTTTTAGTAGTCTCTTTCTTAGTTACTTTGTTGTGTTCGATTTTTGACTCCTATTTTATGTGGATCGATCATATAAATACATATTGTTAGAGAGATGTGTGGACTTTAATTAAATGTATTCAAAATATACTTAAAAGTTTGATGTGATCTAACAAAAATATATGTAAATTCTGTGCACAATTTAGAGTAAATTACGATTGTTGTCCCTGTGGTTTGTTAATATTTTTTGTTTTTATTTTTGATTTTGAGGTTTAGAAATTGCAATTTTTATCTCTGTGGTTTACAATTTATTGTTATAATTTCTACCTTAAAATATAAGGATAAGAACGGTCAAGAACTATGAACTACAAGGCAACAAAACAACAATATATTATAAATTATAAGAACAAAAATATGAATAAATTGCAAACTATAACGACGAAAATCGTAATTCTAAATCACACGGATGAACAAACCATCAAAAAGAAAAACATAATTTACACTAAGATTTAACTTGAAGCATGTTATTGTTTTGTATCGCAGGAGGATGCAAATATGTAAAAGAACTTTTTAAGTAATTAATAAGCCACATAATATCGTTGAGTGAACTATGATTTTCGTTGATTGTGAATTTCCACCTTTGTATTTTTTTAAGTTATGATCATTGTCTTTATAGTTTGTAGTTCATTATTGTTTTTGTCTCTGAATTAATTACTTATAATGAAGTATAAGGCATGAAAATAACAATAGTTTGTAAAACACAAGAATGAAAAAAGAAAAAAACTATAAACCACAAGGGGGGGAGCAACAAATTATAAAGCGTGGGTTTAAAAACCGTAATTTCCAAAGTGACGAAAATAGTAATTTTTGATAAACCATAAAGACAAAAAAGATAACTTAGAGTCTGTTTGTTAGCAGTTTAATGAGTTTTATGGAACTCACAACTTATTAGTTAGCTATATATGATTGTTTGGTAGTGGCTTAATGACATAAAAAGTGACTTGTTCAGTAAGATTCTAGGGGAAAGTTTTATGCAGAAAGTCAAGTTTGTCGAAACCTATCCCTCAATTAAAAAATATGTTTTTAACATCTTATGAAACCTCCCCCCCCCCCCCAAAAACATATCTTGATTTCTAGTAGCAATGCATCGCGAACCTATATATATCATCCGCTAATACACGCCCAATTAATGTTTGGATAAAAATCCTATCCGTCATCATACCATTTCAAGGACTTACAGAAATACCTCGAACGGTGCCACACTCTGTTCGACGTACAACAATGTGTTGAACTACTTCTGAGGATTGGTCGTTGAGGGTCTCTAGAGAGTCCTTCGCGTAAATTGCTTTGAATGGGCAAATCAGTCATTTGCCCTTGGGGATTCGACATTAATCCTCTCATACCTACTAATTGATGTACCTGAGATGCATTTCCTCTGGCTCCTGATAAGACATTATATGGATTGGATTAAAAGGATTGGTCATCTGAAAATTAGGAGACATTTCTTGTCGCAAATATTCACTTGTGGCATACCATATCTCGATCGATTGACGTAATTTTTCTACCATGTGTACATTCCCATAATGATGGTGATTTCCAAAATAAAACTTTGTTGTTCAGCCTGTTGAACTAGCCATCTTTTAGAAGGTATTGTTAAAAGATCATCAAATCCTAATGAAATGGATGCGGTGGTAGCTTCTCGGAAACCCAGAGTCTTTACTTCATCCAGGATACGTGTTGTATATCCTATTCCATAGTGATCAATAAACCGATTAATAAGTCGTTTCATGGCAGTTCCATCTATCATTTTATTGTAAAAGACATGAGTGGCCCGTTGTGCCATCAGTACCTCCATATTGCGTTGAGTAGAATTTGACAATGGGTTTGAGTCTGTGATTAAAAAACTTCCTTTTCTAGATCGTGATTCGCGTATAAATTCTGCAACTGTAGTCCTAGTTAAACCGGCGAGACTCGCATTCCCGCTGGTAGCATAGAATTACAAAAGCCCTGCCAAAATCTCTGTACAACTTCGTCTATTCCTCGATAAAGAGAAATATGACCAAGAGTGGTTCGAATATATATATATATATATATGAATAATTTCTTTTTTATACTTATTACTATCAGATAGTATCCATAGATCTCATAATAGGTCCCCAAAGATTCATAGTGAATTTCGATAGGAGCTCCTTTTGCAGCAATAACACGTTGATCTAGTCGCCACTGGAACCACAAAGGACTACCTAAATTGATTTGTTTTGCCAAAGCTCCAATTACATCATAAGTATCACAAAAAGGGTTTTTTTTTATAGTTATAGTTATTATCTTCATTTTGGTAGTTTCTACGATTACATGGATTACACCTATTTACACAAATACCTTGACGATTTTCACTCCTTAAGACATAGAGTCCACTAAGCATATCTTGAGTTGGTGCGGAAATGGGATCTCCAATAGTTGAAGACAAAATATTCATATTAGTATACATAAGTAAACGTGCCTCTGATCGAGCCTTCGCAGATAAAGGCACATGAACATCCATTTGATCCTTGTCAAAGTCTGCATTGAAGCCCTTACAAACTAATGGATGTAAACAAATAGCACACACTTCCCCTAAAACGGGTAGGAATGCTTGTATGCCTAATCTATGCAGAGTAGGTGCTCTATTCAGCAATACAGGATGGTCATCCAGAATTCTCTGAAGTATTTCCCATACAATCGGGTTTTTTTCTCAAATTTGACTCTTAGCAACTCCTATGTCGAAGCAAGATGTTTTCTAATTAGGTCACAAATTACAAATGCTTGGAAAAGTTTGTTGGTCCCAAAATGGTCTACAAGAATACTAAACAGTTTGTAGAAGGGGGGGATGAATACAAACACAATTTTCAAATTTAAAATATATATTGATAAAGAAGATCAATACAGATTTTACAAGATTGTTTGC